CTTACAGGCTCTGAGAGGATCTGGGTTTCCCCTCTCCATTTCTGGCTCTGCATCCTCAGCATTGGGACCATTCTCAGGAAGGTTCTCCAACCTGCTGCAGGTGGCAGTTTAGGCGGCCCACTTGGGTGTTTGCATCTTGCTGAAAGTGACCCACTTCCTCCCCTGCCAACCAATCTATGTGGTGGGGTGGAGAGACAAGGGATGTGCTGATCAGTCTAAACCAGTTGAGCTTCAAGCTTAGAGCTGGGAGTATGGGGTCAGTCTCACCCACACCACAAGTCTGAGAAACCTGAGGTTCCAGTATGGGATAGAAAAGAGGAGATAAAAGTGTGAGAGACAGCAGGCGAAGTCCCTCACATTGCTCTTTTGTGCTGTAATTATCAATGCACAGATCTGGGTGCTGTCTGACCCTGTTCAGTTCAGTTCAGTTGCTCAGTCGTGTCCGACTCTTTGAAACCCCATGGACTGCAGCATTCCAGGCTTCCTTGTCCATCACCAACTCCCGGAGCTTACTCAAACTCATGTCCATTGAGTCAGTGATACCATCCAGCCATCTCATCCTCTGTCGTCCCCTACCCCTCCTGCTTTCAGTCTTTCCCAGCATCAAGGTCTTCTCTAATGAGTCAGCTCTTCCCATCAGGTGGCCAAAGTATTGGAGTTTCAGATTCAGCACCAGTCCTTCCAATGAATACTCAGGACTGATTTCCTTTAGGATGGACTGGTTGAATCTCTTTGCAGTCCAAGGGACTCTTCAGAGTCTTCTCTAACACCACAATTCAAAAGCATCAATTCTTCGGTGCTCAGCCTTCTTTATGGTCCAACCCTCACATCTGTACATGACTACTGGAAAAACCATAGCTTTTTCAAAGACACCACATCTCTTATATCTCCTGCATTAGCAGAAGGGTTCTTTACCACTAGCACCACCTGGGAAGCCCAACATGGTATGTATAAATAAAACCAAATTAAAATGGGTAGACATTTCTCTGAAGAAGATAACAAATGACTAACAAGCACAGAAAAGATGCTCAGCATTAGGGAAAAGGAAATCAAGACCACATGTGTGCATGCGTGCTCAGTCTTGGGCAATTCTTTGCGACCCCATGGACTGCAGCCCGCCAGGCTCCTCCGCCCACGGGATTTCCCAGGCAAAAATAGTGGAGTGGGTTGCCATTTCCTTCTCCAGGGGATCTTCCTGACCCAGGGATCGAACCCAGGTTTCCTGCATCTCCTGCACTGGCAAGCAGATTCTTTAGCACTGGAGCCACCAGGGAAGCCTAACCCTAATCAAGACCACAGTGAGAAACCAAATTACAGCTATTATGATGGCTATGATAAAAACAAAACAACGCAGAAAATAACAAATGATGGTAAAGAACACTTCTGTAGAAACTGGCATTCTTATGTACCACCAAAGGGAATGTAAAATGGGACAGCTATTGTGGACAATGGTATGGCAGTTCCTCAAAAATTTATATACAAAACTACCATATGATCCAGCAATCCACTTCTGGGTATATACTTAAAAGAGTTGAAAACAGAGACTTGAATAGATGCCTGTGCACCCATGTTCACAATAACCAAAAAGTGGGAGCAATCCAAGTGTTCATCAGTGGATGAACGGATAAATGAAATATGGTATGTTGAGTATGTATATAAAATGGAATATTACCCATTCTTAAAAAAGAATGAAATTCTGAGACATGTCACAAATGAACATTGAAGTTATTAAGTGAAGCCAAATGCCTATTCAGATCTTTTGCCCATTTAAAAAAATGGGTTACCTTTTTATTGAGTCATATGAGTTTTTCATACATCCTGGAAACAAGACAATTCTCAGATATATAATTTGCTAATATCCAGGCTGTCTTTTCAGTTTCTTGATGATGCCCTTTGAAGCACGTTAAGTTTTCATTCTCATCAACTACAGTTTACCTTTCTTTATTGCTTGTCTTTGGTGTCATAGGTAAGAAACCATCGCCTAATGCAAGGTCATAAAGATTTACCCCATGTTCTCTTGTAAGAGTTTTATAGTTTCAAGTGTATGATCCACCGAGGCAACCTGGGTATATGGTGTGAGGTAAGGTTATACATTTCCTTTCTACACGTGAATATCCAGTTTTACTTAGCAGCATTGGTTGGGTGGGGAGGAGATCTTTTTCAGATCGAATTGAATGGTTTTGGAACTCTTGTCATAAATGTTTGGGTTTATTTCAGGACTTTCTATTTTATATTATTGAGCTATACATTCATACTGATACCAATACCACATTCTCTTGATCATGACAGCTTTGTACTATGTTTTGAAATTGAGAAATGTGAGTCCATCAGATTTGCTCTTCTTTTTCAAGATTGTTCTGGCTACTGTGAAAGTGTTAGTCACTCAGTTGTGTCCAATTCTTTGTGACCCCTTGGACTGTAACCCGCCAGGCTCCCCTGTCCATGGAATTCTCCAAGCAAGAATACTGGAGTGGGTAGCCATTCCCTTCTCCAGGGGATCTTCATAACCCAAGGACTGAACTCCAGTCTCCTGCATTGCAGGCAGATTCTGCTACTATGAATTCCTCGAATTTGCACATGAGTTTGAAGAACAACTTGTGAACCTCTGCAAAGAAAGCTGCTGGGATTTGGGTAGGGATTACACTGAATTCTAAGATCAAAGGGAGTATTGTCCTCTTTAACAATATTGTTTCCTGATCCATGAGTATGATATTGCTTTCTATTTATTTCAGTTCAGTTTAGTCGCTTAGTTGTGTCCGACTCTCTGCGACCCCGTGGACTGCAGGCTTCCCTGTCCATCACCAACTTCCAGAGCTTGCTCAAACTCATGTCCATCAAGCCGGTGATGCCATCCAACCATCTCATCCTCTGTCGTCCCCTTCTCCTCCCACCTTCAATATTTCCCAGCATTAGGGTCTTTTCCAATGAGTCAGTTCTTCGCATCTGATGGCCAAAGTATTGGAGTTTCAGCTTCAGCATCAGTCCTTCCAATGAATATTCAGGACTGATTTCCTTTAGGATGGACTGGTTGGATCTCTTTGCTATCTAAGGGACTCTATTTAAGTCGTCTTTCTTTCAGGGCTTCCCTGGTTGCTCAGCTGGTAAAGAATCCATGTGGGAGACCTGGGTTCAATCCCTGGGTTGGGAAGATCCCCTGGGGAAGAGAACAGCTACGCACTCCAGTATTCTGGCCCAGAGAATTCCATGGCCTCTATAGTCCATGGGGTCACAAAGAGTCGGCGATGACCGAGTGACTTTCACTAATTTCTTTCAATGCTTTCATTTTCAGAGTATAAATTTTACACTTCTGTTAAAATTATCTGTTTTATTCTTTTTGATGCTGTTGTAAACGGAAATGCTTTACTTTCATTGTATGGCCTGTTCATTCCAAGTGTATAGAAAGAGTTGGTTTTTGTATATTGACCTTGCATCCTTCTTGCTTTCTTTTGCACCTCCAAGCTTCACACAGCAGGCAGTCACGGTGGCAAAGCCTGGGGGTGGGGCAAGGCTGGAGGCCAGGCCACCAGCCGCAAGGCAGCAGCTGATGTTGTAATCCAGGTGACAGGTGTGCGTGGCTGGCCTGGCCAAGTGGGGAAAGAGAAATGGGTGGGCTTGAGCCACAGGATGGGGTGGGAGAAAAGAAAATGTCAAGGATAAGGCCCACACGCCCCACTACATATAAAATAGGTAACAAGGACTACTACTCAGTACTCTATAATAGCCTCATATGGGAAAAGAATCTAAAAAAGAGTGTGTATGTGTGTATGTATAACTGATTCACTTTGCTGGACACCAGAAATGAATACAACATTGTAAATCAACTGTATTCCAATAAAATGTTTTTTAAATGAACAACAACAACAAAAAAAAGGGTAAGGCCCTAAATTTTTGGCCTGGATCACATTTACCAGGATTAGGGGTAGGTGGCGTCATGGTAATTTCATTCTGAAAGTGTGGCTTTGAAGTGCCTTTAAAACAAGCCGAAGGAAGGGGATTAATTCCTGGCAGTCTAGTGGCTAGGACTTAGCACTCTTTCTGCCAAGTACCTGGGTTCAATCCCTGTTGGGGAACAAAAAAGTTCCATAAGCCAGGAGGCACAACAATAACAAAAAAAGCCACCAGTCCCAGAGGCAGCTGAATAAGCCATTAGTAGCTCAGGGCAGCTCTAGGCTGGAAATAAAACCCTGGGCGTCAGAGAGCAGGAAAAGACAGCTGGGTAGTGGCCGAGAAGCCAACACCAAATGGATGGACACAGGAAGCCAGCTGTGGCCAAGCAGCTGGAGAAGAAAGCCAAAGGTGAGGCCTCCAGGCGGGAGAGTCCCACGGTGCCACAAGCTGCTGAAGTCACGGCAGGCAATAACCCAGCCTCAAAGGCTGCAAGAGACTTCGGCCAATGGAACCCAGACTGCACTGAGTTGGATGTGTGTGCATGTGTGTGAGCACACACTCAGTTGTGTCCCATTCATTTGCGACCCCACAGACTGTAGCCCACCAGGCCCCTCTGTCCATGGGATTTTCCAGGCAAGAATCCTGGGGTGGGTAGCCATTCCCTTCTCCAGGGGATCTTCCTGACCCAGGGATTGAACCCGCCCCTCCTGCACTGGGCCTGGGAGGGAAAGAAGCAGAGCTAAGAAGCTTGCCCCGTAAGTGGGGGTTAGGGGCTGCTGCTCAGCCTGAGGAGACTTAGTTGTTAATGGGAAAAACTTGAACAAGCTTTATTGCTGGTGGGAAGGGGTCAGTTAAACTGGAAAGGGTGGGAGGAAAGTGGGGAGGAAGCAGGGGCCGCGGTCATGTGCTCAACTCTACCCCATGCACTGTCCCCTGCCACTGCTCTCTCATCAGGCAGTGGGAGCCAGACAAACTATTCATATTGTAGTTCTGCAAATACCCGTGTATTACGTGCTTTCAGCCCTTATTGAGCCTGGAAGACTAGAGTCCAAGACCTGAATGAGACGCCTGCTACGTGCATAATCGAGAAAGGCTGATGCAGAGATTCAAGCTCAGTTCTGCATGTTCCCACGAGCGGTCTCCTCGGTTTTTATGAAGGTAAGCATCCCTGGCAGCTGGGAAGGACTGGTGTAGGGTGCGGCTCCTGCGAGGGGCACGACCCCATAAAATCCGGCCCCCAAACCACACAGGCAGCTGCTCCCCACGTGCAGGGCCGGGTCAGTGTGAGGGCTGGATGGATGTTCAGCAGTGCCCGCTGGGCACACAGCTCGAGCCGGGGACAGCTCGGGTCTGCAGGAAGTCAGCGCTTTCTCACCCCACTTAGCAGCCGCGTTGTCGCACAGCCTGAGGGACCGTGCAGCTCTCCACCTGCTGACCTCACGGATTCCGGGCAAGGGCAGGGCGTCCGGAGGAGGCGGCTGCCACACGGAAGCAGCCCACGTGGGCACCGGGAGGACTCCGCAGGCTCCTGGGGGCGGTGGGCTGCTCTCGGCCGGCAGATCTGGGTCAACCCTGTTCAGCCAGCTCATTCGAGAAACCAGAAGGCGGCTCAGACCCACCAGCACGGGCCTTCTTGCCCTGGAGCAGCACCCCGCGGCAGAGGGTCCAGGCAGCCTGTGGGGCTCCTGCGTAGCCGAGCTCACACGGCTGATCCTAAGCGGGGAGGAGGAAGCCCCTCTGTTCTGATGGAGGGGAGCGGTTCAGCGGCCCCCAGCCCCTGCCTGCACCCCCTCCCCGAGTGCCGCTGCAACCCGCCAGGTGGGCCCAGAGACAGGGTGCCGTCTCACTGCTGTGGGTCCAGCACGAGCCTGCAGGGCTGGGCCCTCAGCCCCGCGAACGCCTGGGGCAGGTCTCGACCGGGGCGCTGGGTCCTCGAGGTGCGGCCTGGCACCAGCTGCGGCAGCATCGCCCAGGAGCTTGTGAGCGATGCAACCTCTTGGGCCTGCAGGAGACCTACTGCATCGGAAGCCCTGGGCCCTCTGGGGGGACTCACGCTTGCTCAGGTCTGAGACACACTGGGTGAGATGGTCCCCAGGCCCTTCCCGCACCTTCCCGCAGCTGTCCCCTTCCTCCCTCAGCACCCTGCACTCTTGAGGGCCTCACCTGACTCCAAAGCTGTCCCTTCTCCTCAGGTTGAATTCCACAGATACCCCTGATAACCCAAGGCCTGCGCAGAGTCAGGAAGGGGCTGCGGGCAAGGCATGGCGGGTAACTAGAAAATCTGGGCCAGAGGACAAGGACCCAAAGCCTTCGTTCCGAGCTTCTGTGAGACAGTGAACAGAGGATCATTTGAACGTTACTGTCAGCACAACAGCAGTGCCTGGGGCCCGGGACTTTACCTTCATTACCCCAAGGTCGGAGTCAGGAGACCCGGGTTCTCCTCTCAGCTCCGACACTCAGCGGGTGGGTGAGGTGGAGGGTGGGACACAACCATGTCCAGGCCCCCATTTTTGCAGCTTTAAAGCCAGGAATCTGAATGGACAAGTCATAGATATCTCCTGCATGGAAAAAGCCATACACGTAAGTGAGATCCCACGCATGTGATGTTCCAGGACAGACCAAACCACAGCGCAGACTTCAGAGCAGCGGCTGTGGCAGCTGTGGAGAGGGGGCGGCGTGGACCGAGGAGAGGCACGGGCGCCTTTATGGGGTCGTGGAAATGTTCCATCTCCGTTACGGGAGAGGCTGGAGCTGTTTCTACATGTTACAATTCATCCAACTGTATGTAAGTTAAACCTCCATTTAGAACACTTCTGGTAAAATAAAGGGACTGGGATTAGATGACTTCCCAAAATGCTCTGAGTCTAAAATCTTGGATATCCTCTGATTCTTCTTTAAAAAAAAAAAAAAATTTTTTTAAATTTGGGGCTAAACTGGGTCATTACTGCTGCATGTGAGCTTTTCCTAGCTGTGGCAAGCGGAGGCTACGCCTCACGGCAGGACAGGGCTTCTCACTGCAGCAGCTTCTCTTGTTGCCGAGTGCCGGCCCCAGGTGTGCAGGCTTCAGTAACTGCAGCTTGAGGACTCTAGAGTGCAGGCTCAGTAGCTGTGGCCCCTGGGCTTAGCTGCCCCCAGGCACGTGGAATCTTCCCAGAGCAGGGATGGAACCTGTGTCCCCTGCCACTGGCAGGCGGATTCTTAACCACTGGACCACCGGGGCAGTCCAGATTGTTTGGCTTCTGATGTGGGGTAACCAGCCTTGAAAGGAGGCAGAACTAAGCCTGTCGGAATGTGGGCTCTGCCCCAGGTCTCCGCCATCATCGCCCCCACACCCTGGCTCAGAAGGCACCCCCACCCCTGTGGAGGCAGGACCCTCGTCAATTACAGCTGCTCTTCCCTCTGTTCTAAGACTCGGCCTCTGGAGTGGCAGCCACATCTTGCGTTTCAGTAGCAGCTGCACAGATCTGCTAAGACACAGTAACTTCTCTAGTAGGTCTCACTACTGTCAGCGGGAGCGAGTGGGAGGCATTCACTAATTTAATGAACAAAAAACCACAAAGAAAAAAATGATAAGAGGGAGGTGGAGAGACAGCAGTCAGGAGTCAGTGACTCGCTCGGATCACAAACATACATTTCCGCCATAGAATCTTTATTTTACATGTTTGCGTCACAGCAAGAGAATCCATCCTCTACATCACCCTGATTGGAACCCCCACCTGTTATATGTTTACATAAATACTCTTCATGATCATCAGCATTTAAAAAGAAAAAAAAATACTGACAACGCCCTCTGCACCCCAAACTAACCTGGAAAGCAAAAAATATTTACAGACATTTTCTCCCCCAAATGAAACTTATTTTCTGGATTGGATGTCTCTGAGTTCTTTTGAGGTCACATGACCAGGCAAATCCAATTTTACAATCTGCAGAAGCTGCTTAAGGTGTCAAGAAACCCCCTTGTGTGGACAGGATTTTTGGATCCTTTTGTAATGAGTGTCTTAAATGCTAAGAAGGCTGACGGCTGGCTCCCTGACTGATCTGTCTGCCCACCACACCTCAGACCCTGCCTCAAGACAAGCTTGCTGTCTTGGGAGTGAGCTAAATTCTCTGTCTGACCTTGACCTTTACTGACTTCATCGGGGACCCCCTTCCCAAACAGCTGGAAGCCCAAAGGTCCCTGGTGTGACAACAAGCGAATCCTGGCTCCGGCACCTCCCTGTCCCTCCCCTGGCTGCATTCTTCGCACAGCTCCGCAACGGAGGTGCGTGTCCACGTCCCAGAAACACTATCTTTGAGGCACACACTGGGCAGGGTGGGCGGCTGCATCGCCAGATGACAGGAGAGGCCCGGGGGAAGCTGGAGAGTGTGCGGCTTGCCAATCAATGACTGCGCTCCAGGTGGGGGTGACAAGGACTAGCATCAACTCGGGCAAAGCTCTGAAGACCTGCCCGAAAACACCCGGCAGGAGAGCGGAGCAAAGGGGCAGATCTTCTACAAAGTCTGGTGTGATTTGTTTCTGGTACACCAAGAAGGATCAAGACAAAATCTAACTTAACTTTTTCAGTGGCGAAGCCATTAATTTACTGAATTCTTAAGAAGAAGAAGAAGAAGAAGAAAAAAAAAGCCACAGGCCACAGGCATCCTGGACTCAGCCGATTCTGAATCTGCTCAAGGTTGGGGCGGGTCAGGGAAGCAAGGGTGAGGCGAGGTGTGGGGCAGGAGGAGGGGTGGGCAAGGACCCAGGTCCTCTGAAGTTCAGCTGCCGGGCAGCAGGAAGCACCAACGCCCCCAGCGCTCTGTGGGGTGCAGGGGGCAAACTGTCTCAGGTCCCGGGAGGCAAAGCTCCAGGACCGGGGAGACAGCCAAAGCCACTCACAGTGAAACCAGCATCTCTGACGTGGCTCCTTGGCCAGTGAGGACTAAAACAAGACATCCGTTTCCACGCGGGGACAGAACATCACACGTGGTCAAGAGAGCATGTGGGCTCTCTGGATAAAATTCTCCTGAGCTTGGAAAATACATCCTTCTCACAGCTGCTGGCAGAAAATGATGCAACGCACCAAGGGCTGCAGCCTGTGTTCCCAGGCTGAGCCCACGTGGAACTGAGAGCCTGGGCCAAAAGGGGGGGAGGGGAGAGGGTCAGCGGGGAGGGGTGGGGGGGAGAGGGCTGTGGGTCGTGGGCAGGTCCCAACAAGGGAGCGGACCCCTTGCCCTGACAGCCCCATGGAGAGGCATTATGAAGAGACCGGGTGCTGCCTTCGCTGGCTGGATATGTCCAAGGGGGAAAAAAAAACAAACCTGTAAATTTTACTCTAGAGTGGTTTCTGGAAAAAAAACTGGGCTCCGGCTATGATCTGAGAAGCCGTCTTTTACACTTGAGCAAGCTTCTCCTTATGAGAGAATGAACCCCCAGGTATGTTCAGTGGACGCACTGCTAAAATGTTAAAGCACTGAGGGATGGAGAAATAGGCTAATGGAGTCTTTGGCCACCATTAAGAGCCGGGATTAAGAGATCGATGATTTCAAAAAATAAAAATAAAAATGGGAGAGATCGGTGATTGTTCTTACTGTCCAAGAAGTAATTTTCTAGCAAAATACAGACTTTATTAAAGGAAAGCAGATCCTTTACCTCCTAAACTCTCACAGCCAGTGGCTTCTGGTCCACGACCGGTTTCTCAGAGAGGCAAGGGTGTTTCTCACAGGCAGACTGGGGGAGCCGGGGCAGAAAGCGAAGCTATAAATACCACTGATCACTCCTGACGCGCACAATCCTCTCTGCCCGATCCCTCCAACACCGAGAGGGAGGGCTTCACCGCTCCGACAGTGCCCAGCACGGGCCGCGCAGGCTCCGACCGTGAGACTGCAGGGAGCGGCTGTCAGCTGGGGAGAACACCTGGCTTTGGACCCCAACCCCTCATGCTCACTCCAGGGTGAGGGCTGAACGCTGCTCACAGCCATTCAGGTGACAGAGGGAGAACCACACTTTTACGGAACAGGATGAGGAGCTTAAATAATTTTGAAAACGCCTGAACTACCACCGCCTTGTTTTCCCAGTCCGGGACTGGGGCTTTGGTTTTTCTTCATCATGGGCCTGACTTCAAGCCTTCTTCCCAGGCATGACACAGGCGGCGGGCAGACGGCCCACGTTGGGAAGGCCACGGCCTGGCTCACTTCAGACCCACTACCCCCCCCACCCGAGCCGGCCTGGTCCTGAAGGGCCGGGACCGCACAACTGCAGCCAGCTCAGCCCCCCGTGAGCCTAGGAGCGCCCAGAGCGGGGGCACGGGGTTGAAGACGGTCCAGCCTGGGGGCTCCTGCCCTCCTGTGTCTGTGGGGGCCAGGGCCTGCCCACACGCACGCCCTCATCTGCACGCACTTTCTTCCCTGTTTCCAGGCCATGGTCTGAAGACACCTCCGTGGAGACCCTCAGGGCGGCGGGGGTGGGGTGGGGGGAGGAGGGGGTGTCCCTCAAACCTTTGGTTCCTGCCAAGAAGTCTATGGCCTCATCAAAGACAGCGGCTCGCAGGACAAACAGCAAATGCGTCCTTCGGATGGGAGGACCGGAGGGGGTTTTGGCCACAGCAGGAGACACATTCCTGAGGCACGGGGATGGCGTCTACACAGGAAGACGGAGTCTGGAAAAACGTCCCCGTTCTCCAGGCTGCTTTCTTCTCCTGTCACACGGCTCCGAGTTAACTCAAAAAGAAAAGTCCCTTAGATAATAATACTCAGGGCATTTTTCCTGGCTCCTGAAGACAGGAGAACACATGAACCTCCCCGAAAATATCTGTGGAAAGGTGAGGGGCAGGGTCTGGCCAGGGGCTCGCTCCTCTCCACGCTGGGCCGGGCCCAAGCCCCGAGGAGGTCGTGCCAGGAGAGCATGGGGGGGATATCAGAGAGCGCACAAGGGACACGTGCTTCCTCATGGTCAGCAGGGACGCGACCGGGGCGCGGGGAAGGGAAAACCACAGCTTCTACAGTAGAGACTCTTCAGGCTCCTAAACCGGGGCTGCTGAGAGGCACCCCTAAATCTTGTGGTTTCCCATCGACCCTTCCAGGCCAGCAGTCTGAGGACCACCCCCAGCCGCCGTCACCGTCTGGCACTCAGGAGCAGAGGGAGGGCGCAGACTTCTGACACAAACACGGGCGCTGGGAGCCACCTGCACGGCCAGCACCCCGTGCTCCCGGCACGGTGTCTCAGCCCCATCTCGGGCCCCTGCAGCTGAAGCCTCAGTGGGAGGTGACCGGCAAGTCCTGCTACGCCCCGGGTCACGGCGGACCTTCTGGGCTCGCCCCGCTATCCAAAGGCCTCGGCTCTGAGCAGAGCGGCAGTGCCGTTACCGCCCGTGCTCAGCTCCATGCTCTGCAAGTTTGGAAGAGAACCTCACTGAGATTCCTGAAAGGGGCTCCCCACCCCCAGAGTCCGAGAGTAAAGCCACCAGTCACACTCCCCTTCTTCACATGCCCACTCCTGGGACACAGGGACGAGGCCCACGCCCCTCCTCCGCTCGCGAGTGCGACCCGGCTCACAGGGAAAGCACTCCTGGATTAAGGGCCTGCTTCACCAGGACCCCTCTGCCCCAGGCTGCTCCTGAAGGAAAGCCCTTCCCGCTGCCCCTCTTCTGACCACACAGATCAGGGGCAGCCGTGAGAGGAGCGGCCGGGGCCGCCAGAGACGGCGCTGCCAGGGGCTGCTGGGGAGGCCAGAGCTTCAGGGAAGTCCTTACCAGAGGCGGCTTTTCGAGCTAGAAACACACTTCTGTCCGTCCATCAGGCAGGAAACCGCTGGCCACCAGCAGGGCCCTGATGGACGGTAACATCGCAGCCCTTGGACAGCCACTGCCCCTGGTCACTTTCAGAATCTGGGACGAAGGTCTGGGGCGACACTCGGGGCCAGGAACCCCGGGGCAGGCTCCTCACGCCTCACTGAGTCTCGACTTTCTTTGTAAAATAACCTCACCCGTTTTCTCCCAGAAGATGCAGTGACACTTGCCCCCCCCCAGCCCCGGCCTTCTCTGAGTCCCGGAGCTCCCTCTCGACAGCAGCTCACCTCCTGAAGCCCCTTCCCAGGCCCACAGGGGCCCCCATCCACCAGCACTCCCTGCTGCACACTGGGTCACAACTGCGCCTACCTGAAGAGCTCCCCAATTAAAAAGCGGAAATAGAAATTAAAACAAAGGCTTCCTTTCCCCTGCCTCCTCTTACACTCCCTCCCCGCCACTCCCACCTCAAGGAGAATGCGGGCTTCCTGTCACCAGCGCGCACCCAGCGTCCAGAAAAGAGTGAGAAGTTGGGTCTCTGTGGCGCTCGGCTCCAGACGCGTGCTCTGCGGTGTCGCCGTCGCGAGGGGCCGACGCTCCCGCTGACCAACCGGACTGCGAATAAATTAAAGTCTCTGCCAGCGCCCCTCCGAGCCGCTCCTCATGCGCTGCCTTCCCAGTCACCCTGCGGCTCCACCGAGCCATTGGTCACCTTCTTGACTTTCTTCATACTCTCCATCACCCCTGACGTCGTCACTCTGAGTGAGGGAAAAAGACAAAAATGAGGGAAACCTCACTCTTCTGAGTAAGAGGCTGTCCTCACTGTAGCCCAGCGGCAACCAGGGGTACGGGGCGTTGGCTCTGAAGTCGGACAGACCCGGGTTCAAATCCTGGCCTGCTCGACGCGAGCTGAGCTGTGTGAGCGTGCCCGGTCACGTGACCCCCTCTTGTGCTGCAGCATACACATGATCCCGACTTCCCAGAACTGTCATGACGGGCAACGAGGCACTCCGCCGTGCTGAGTCACGGCGTGTCAGCTGTTAGCACAGCCAACGTTAATCTCTCTCCCTGTCACAAAGTTCTATGTTTTACATACATATATAAAACTAGTCACAACTATGACACCATTATCTGTGTCATAATTAACATTCTGGGGAAAAAAAAGTTAATCAGCTGTAGACCATTTATACTAAACAGCCACAGTGGATCACTTCTGAGACCTGGGACAGAACCACGGGTTTGGAGGAACCTTCCGGGCCCAAAGACTCTTTGACTGTTACAGAGACCGGGAGTGAATCACAACATCCCTTGAGAAGGTGGGGTCCCGGAGAGGACAGCTTCTGCCTCACAAAGTGGGAGTTAGACAGAGCCTGAGACTTTCTGTGTCCGCAACACAACCGCACGGCTCCACCACAGGAACACCGAGCAGACACAAGCCCCCCCCACCTCCCCCACCCCGGTCGGCGGAGCCCGGGGGGTTTCCGGGCACCACAGGGATGCTGTACGCCTCTGTAACGGCGGGTACACGTCTGTCCAAACCCGCAACACCAAGTGTGAGCCCTACTGTAAACTACGGGTGCGGGTTTCAATGCTGAGCTAGTGCAGGTTCATCAGTTGTGAGGAACGGACCCTGTGGAGGGGATGATGACGATGGAGAAAGCTACACACGTGTGGGGCAGAGGGGGACATGGAGGGAATATCTGCATCCTCTGTTCAATTCTGTTCAACGTTATGAATCTAAAAACGTTCCACAAAAGAGCCTTAAAAACAAACACCATGGGCCAGCATCTCCAAAGTAGTCTAAGAAACATGAGGCACCTATGTACCCCCATCGTAGACCAAGAGGAATTTCCTAATCAGTAAAGTAAAATTCAACCAGCCAACCCAGCACTGTCTCTCCAAGGACCCTTCCTATGCCCCCACCAACACCCAGATCCTGTGACCTGCAAACGGCAACTCAGCGGCTCTATAGGTGACACAGCTAGTGTCTGCCAGCTGGATCCACACCGCAGAGAAACGATTTTACACGGAGTGAGAAGAGAAAACCTTCTCTCCCTTCTTTGCTGCCATCATGCTGCTGCTGCAACCAAGCCTCGGGGCCATCCAGGCCTCCCCAGGGCTGGGCTTTTCTCTTGGTTATCTGTTCTTCTGGTAAGCCAGGACCAGGAGGTCGTTCTTGTGGGAACCAAGGGATTCCTGCAGAGGATGCTGGTGAATGTAAAGAGTTGGTTGTGTGGCTGCCGCACCGTGTTAAGAAGGCCGAGGAGCTCAACACGTGCGGACGCTGAGGGCTCCAGCATCACAACCCAGGGGCGGCTCGGACGGCAGGCTTGGGGCAGCCTTTGCTCCCTCGCTTTCCCTAAGGAAATACTCCTTGCTAGATGGTGGCCCAACTGAGAAAACCACGTTCCCTCTACCATGAGAGGCCTGGGGTAAGGACAGAGAGTGATGAAGTTGGAACTGGTGCTCTCAGGGGGCCCAGTGCCCAGCAGAATGGACAGTCTTTCAGGTGGACATGCAGAGCCACCTCAGACATACAGGATGGGAGTGCCAGGATGCAGGCCTGACGACGGCTCAGGGTGAGGAACCACCTCTACCAGGGTGGGGTGGGGGACGGGAGGATGCTCTGAAGCCTGTGTTGAAAGATGAGGAGCAAGAGCAAGATGCAGGCGGAGGGAAGAGGGCAGGGGAGTTTCTGAAAAGAAACCTAACAGGAAGAGGCATTTTGTAAAATGTGGTCCCAAATAAGTTACAGCAAAAAATAAATGTATACTTAACTTTGGGCTTCCCAGGTAGCACTAGTGGTGTAAAACCTGCCTGCCAATGCAAGAGACATAAGAGATGCAGGTGTGATCCCTGGGTCAGAAAGATCCCCGGGAGGAAGGCATGGCAACCCACTCCAGTATTTTTATCTGGAGAACCCCATGGACAGAGGAGTCTGGAGGGCTGCAGGCCATAGGGTCGCAAAGAGTCAGACATGACTGAGCGACTTAGCACACACACATACTCAACTCCAGATGGACTCTCACTTGTGCCTCTTCAACCAGAGGTCCTTACTCGGATTCTGCTACTTCTAGAAAAGGCAACTCTGGCGGTTCCCCAGCACTCCCCTCCACTGCCTCTAACAGGGGTTTCCTCCTCTACACAACAGGAAGCTGGTGTTTGGGGCCCAGCAGCAGGCTCTGCTTCCAATTACTATTTCCGCAGAGGAGCCGAACGCATCCCACGCTGCCTGACCTGCCCGCCAGCCCGGCAGAGCCTGCCATGGGCCGAGGCTCAGCCTCTGAACCAGGAAGAGAGACAGGCCGCCTGCGCTGGAGGCCACACACTTCAAAGAGTGGACAGGGAGGAACTCAGCTGCAGGCGCGTCATCAAACACAACTGCTGACCTGGCCCATCAGAGTTCATCAGTTTACAAGCAAATATTCTCAATCACTATTCACTTCTCTAGAAAATGACTGCCCCTTCCCGGAAAATAGGACCCTAGAGTCACATTTAGCCTGTGACTCAGAAAAGTTCTTTTTAGAGCTCAGATATAGGTCAAGTCACTGTGCTAGCTGTGAAAAGCCATCAAGTTATCTGATGATGAAGGACGTGTGAGGATCATTAGCTGACTTGAAGATGACTTGGATGATTACACTGTCAGACCTGAGCTTCCACCAGCAGGCCCAATGGGAAGTGGGGCCACCCATCCCCAAGGATATCCCCAAGTTCTTGCTGCTAAGTTGCTGGCAGCGGGCTCCAAGGATGCCTCACAGGATGGAAGTTCTACTTCCCCTGAAAAGAGCAAGCGATGCTTGGCGGATACTGTACAATGCAAAGCCTGGGGCCTGAGTGTCCATCTCTTGCACCGACACACAGAGGGCCCACCCCTGCGGCAACAATCTGCTTCCGCTCAGACCACACTGCTCCCAGTGAGGTGGGGGCAGGGAGGGGAAGGAGGAAAGGGGGTGCTTACACAGATTCCATTTCCAAGTCATCTTCTTCCTGAGAGAGCTGTAGGTAGGGGTTGTCTGAGGCTGGACGGAACTTATACCCCGTGAGAACAAAGAACACTAGCGTGGCCATTTCATCCAGGAGCTGCAAATTTTAAAACCACCCCAAAGAAAGGGATTAGAATACTGTTCTCCAGAAAGCAGTGGGACCAAACTGTCCGCCCTGCCCCCCGATAACCCACCACTCACTGGTCAGTCACTCAAACGCCAAGGCTGACCCTTCGGGACCATGTTCCTTAGGGGACTTGCTAAAGCCTTCTGCCTAGAGAGGGCTTCCCTTGTGGCTCAGCTGGTAAAGAATCCACCTGGCATGTGGGAGATTCAATCCCTGGACTGGGAAGATCCCTTGGAGAAGGGAAAGGTACGCTATCCAGTATTCTGTCCTAGAGAATTCCATTGACTGTACAGTTCATGGGGTCGCAAGGAGTCAGACATGACTGAGCGACTTTCACTTTGCCCAGAGAGGACATCTGAGACTCCTTGCTTTAAGTCTTCACTGGCATCTTTGAAGAGCTCTTTATATACACACACTTCCCTACTGTGTCCAAAGCCCCGAGTGAGAGCTTCCAAAAAATAGTCTCTAAGTCACGTGGTGACTGCCCCGTAGTTAAACTAGCTCTAGCACACTGCAAAGATAACTTTATTACTGAAATAATAATAACAATGGGCAAGAAGAAGGGAGGTCTGGATTCTAAGCTACTCTAAGCCCTATAGCTGAAGGACAGGGCCCCACTGCATCGAGGTCTGAACTATACTGGGCAAGGCTTTCTCTGCCTGGGTTTTCTCAAGGAATTTTAAAATTGAAAGCTAAATCAATTCCAGATTTCTCATGTAACCCAGCAGCTCTCCTGGACAAACACATCTTAACTGTAGACCAGAAGAGAGACGGTTTCAGTGGCCACTGCCAAATAAACCTGGAGCCATCTCAGGTCACCCCGGGACTGCCTGCTCAGACACAAGTTCCCTGGCGCTGTCCCCTGAGCAGCGTACCTGGTAGAGCCATTTCCACTGGAACGGAACAGCAAGTTTGAGGAGAAACGCAATAATCCTGGTGAAGTATATGTAACATACGATCTAATGAGGAACAGAGATACAAGAATAAAGTCAATGCAGAAACCATAGCACTACTTTCTTCCAACAGTCTGCTAAGGGGAAAGCAGAGTTGCCTTAAGAAAATTATTTGACACTTACAGTGCTAATTAATCAATCAGCAGAGAGAGAAACTCTCTACTACTTGAGAGGATTTCCTCTTTTTCTCTAGGTGACTAAGATACTGATGGATAACAGTCACTCCCATGGACAGGATACTTTGCTCTTAACTCCTGAGTAACCTCCTTCTCACCTAATTCTCATACATTTTTGGTGTTGTTGTTGAGTTGCTAAGTCATATCCAACTCTTTGTGACCCCGTGGACTGCAGCATGCCAAGCTTCCCTTCACTATCTCTTGGAGTCTGCTCAAACTCATGTCCATTGAGTTGGTGATGCCATCCAACCGTTTCATCCTCACTGGCCCCTTCTCCTTTTGCCCTCAATCTTTCCCAGCATCAGGGTCTTTTCCAATGAGTCAGCTCTTTGCATCAGGTGGCCAAAGTATTGTAGCTTCAGCATCCTTCCTTCCAATGAATACTCAGGGTTGATTTCTTATAGCATTGACTGGTTTGATCTCCTTGCAGTCCAAGTGACTCTCTCAAGAGTCTTCTCCAGCACAATTCAAAAGCATCAATTCTTCGGAGCTCAGCCTTCTTTATGGTCCAATTCTCACATCCATACATGATTACTGGAAAAACCATAGTTTTGACTACATGGACCTTAGTCAACAAAGTAATGTCTCTGCTTTTTAATAAGCTATCTAGGTGTGTCAGATTTCCTTTCAACGAGTAAGTGTCTTTTAATTTCATGGTTGTAGTCACGGTCCGCTTTGATTTTGGAGCCCAAGAAAATAAAATTCTCATATATAACCAACTGATTTCCAGCCCCAAAGGGTAATAGTTTTTCAGTCCCAGTCTTTGAGAAATGTTTTCCAGCAATAACAGCAAAATAAAACCATATGGGGAAAACACTGGCTTTTAGTCTCTCCAGGAGATCCTGTGAATGTTCGAGGTCCACACTCAGAGGAAGGACCAGTCATCCTAAGTGCCCTAGTAAGGAAGGGCATGACAAAGATTCAACGTGCGGACCCACTGGGAGAGGACAGCTCGCTGGCCTGTGCCCAGGGCAGACAGGCTTATGGGGAAGGGACTGTGCAGAGTGACAGTCAGTGCCAAAACCACAGATGAAAACGACTACGAAGCTTTAGTCTGGGAGTAGGGAAGCAAAATTCTAGGAGACCCATAGCTTATACATTCCAGGAAATTATGATCCTAATATTTTATAGCATGTCCCCCTTTTGGTGGTACGCTTATAAGGACTTTATGTGTACATTTCAGTCATGTTTTTAGATATGATCCCAATTTTGTAAGCCAATTTTTTAAAAAAGTAAGTTAAAGGAACAACTATGCATGGCATTTGCCTAGGAAAGAATCTAGAGAAATAATGACTCAACTGTTAACCATAATACCTGGGGGAAGGAGTGAGAACAGGGAAGGAGCAGAAGGTTCAGGGTCATAAATGGCTTTTGCTGTCTATCATCCCGCATTTAAAAAGTATCAAGCAAGTGTTAGGTTTCTGAGTATTTAAACCCAGATTTAAAACTAAAACTTTGTAGTAAGTAACTCAGATACTTAATTTCCCATGTCTACAGCCACCACTTGGTTTTTGTTCAGTGAAATCCCCACAGCTCCTGGGAGCCAGTTCATTAGCTCTATTCCTTGAACTGACCTTATTCACAGACTGAGGAATTTTTTACTCACCAAGACGTAGTAATGTCTGAAAAGTTTCAGCTTCGCTAAGTTAATAGCAGCTGGGGAGAAGAGGACAACAACGTGAGAGGCTGCTGTTTTTCTCATTTTTAAAGCTTGTCACCAGCAAGCACACTCGCGGTCCAGAGGCCGAGGCTAATGCAGATGGGGGCGCCTCTGTGGTTCTGGACATGAAGCCTGGCAGGGTCTCCCCCCATCTCCAGGAAGGATCTGGGAGTTGTGGGGGGCAGCAGGCTGGCGCCCCCAGCTCCAGCAAACCAGCGTTCCTTCCCGTTCGGGGTTCGGGAGCTTTAAACGGCCTTCCTGGGAGGATAGTGACACCACAGAAATCAACAGACACTACAAATTCCAACTCTTCCAACCCGCAAAGCCATATTTAAACATTTCAGCTCTGCCACTGCGGCTGCAGGGCTGCAACTCCACTAGCAATGGTCTCAGGGGGCCCTCCAGCTAACTGAGGGAGTAAATCCAATTAACCCATGGGCGGGCACTGCAAATTTCACTTAGGTTTTCACTGTGTCTTGTAACAAAGCCCTTTAAATACGACCTCCCCAGCTCTGTCCTACCTCCAGGACTGCTCAAGGTCAGGGAGCCAGGAACAGCTAACTTCTGCCACCACCAACGGCCATGAAATATTGATGACCTCAGAGGGTAGCCTGGCTCCCTCTCCGATTAGCGAGCCTTTCATTCATCATCAACCTTCCGGCAGGAGGCGAATTAATTTTGCTTAACAGCATTTAATTACTGGTTCCCTTTAGGAATGGAACTGTGGATGGTGACGGATAGACTTTCCGTGTCTCCCTCCTCTGGCTCATGATTAATGGGGGAGCAGTCGAGCTTAGGTTCCCAAAGAGATTCCTGGAATCCTAAATTAACCTTCAAGGTGATCACCAACTAACAGGATCTGTAAGAACCTGCTCTGAGAAACTCAGAAAACCTGGGTAATTCTAACTTCCCAAACTGAGAGGCTCTGACACGCGTGTCGACAGCACGATGGACTCACACTCATGTAGCACCTGAAGGAGCTAGATGAAGGAAGCAGATAAGCCAAAGCTTTCTTATCGAGCAACCCCTCTGGTGGTCCTGCTGTTATTAAGTCTCTCTGGTTCTCCGTCCTTTTTCATCTACACTGACTCTGGGCCAGGCCCCAGGGCAGCGGCTTCCGTCCCTCAGGGAAGGAGAGGCGCTGGATCAGGGCTGCCCCCTCACCAAGGCCGGCCCACAGAGACCCGGGCGGTGCGGTGTGGGGTCAGGGACTCCTCCCCGTCTGCAGGACAGGAGACGTTTCACCGAGGACAAGATGCTGAAACCGAGAAGTGACAGATGACTGTGTCACCAGATTTAAAACTCTGCACGTTTGTATAAAGTAGTGTTCCTCCTGGGCGTGCGCAAACCTGCTCACGCTGGTGGCGGTCAAAGAGACGGCCAGCTTGTGCTGCACTCTGCCCCACAAAACCAGGTGGCCTCTGAGACCTGGGGCCCTTCCACACAAATCACTCCTACATTTGGACGTTTAATCCTCTTCATTTTGAGTAACTGAGAAAGAATGGCACCAACAATCGGACCATTTACATGATGAAAACACTTTAGAAATCTCTTCTGAATTTTGCTTGCTGAAATAGATCCTGGCAAATGAAACTCCTGCCTTTGCTTCAGCAAGAACCCAAAGGAGAAAAGCGGCGCGTTTCTATTCCTGGATTTCAAGGTGCCGTGCCGGGATGTGCATGGTTGCCATGGCCACCCCCAATGAAGGGTTCCTGAGGCAGACCGAGGGGACGGGGGGAGGGTCAGGACTCCCAAAGGAGGTGGTGTCCAAGCAGAGGCCTGACTGGGGCTCAGGAGGGAGTGAGAGTAGAGAGGTCAAGCCGAGAGGATGCTTGCAAGGAGCAGGCAGCCAGGTCTGGAGGTGCCCGAGAGGCCGGGGACTCTGCCGGGCGGAGGACAAAACCCGAGACTGAGTCAGACGCAGACCACAAGTGGCCTCCGTGAGGGTGCCAAGGCCCCAGGGAGCCTCTGGAGGGTCTCGAGCAGGGCAAAGCCTGAACCACATCAGCATTTTCGAACAACCTCTTTGGAGAAAGGATGGAAGAATTAAGAATAAGAGCCCGGGGAGTTCCCTGATGGTCCAGTAGTTAAGACTGCTCTTTCACTGCCATGGTGGGAACTAAGATCCCAGAAGGCATGCAGTGTGGCTCAAAAAAAAAAAAAAGAAAGAAAGAAAAAGAATCCAACTGAGGTCAAACACTTTGAATTTTTGGAGGTTCCTCGAAGCAGTTGAGGGGTCCCTATCAGTGCAGAGCAGGGAACAAGGTGACCTCGTCTTAGTGGTTGGGAGCAGGGGTGACGTTGAGGATACCGGAGAATTCTTCAGGGGAAGTCTGAAGCCCCCGCCCCCCGCCCCCTTTCACGGGGAAGGAAATCAGGGGCAGAGGGAGAGCTGACCAAGGGGAGGCAGGGGGGTTAGGACACTGTGGGTCTCGTGGGGGTGAGAGGAAGGGAGAGGACAGGAAGGCACCACACTGCCACCTCCCTGGGACGTGTGCCACCAGGGCTGCCCATCAGACACCCAGAAGTGAGGCAGGCCAGGAAGAACGCGACAAGTGAGCCTGCACACCCACGTCCAGGTCCCACGGGGAAACGTCAGCATGGGCAACAATACCAGGTCACCCCCAGACATATGCTGCTGCTGCTGCGGCTAAGTCGCTTCAGTCGTGTCCGACTCTGTGTGACCCCACAGACGGTAGCCCACCAGGTTCCACCATCCCTGGGATTCTCCAGGCAAGAACACTGGAGTGGGCTGCCATTTCCTTCTCCAATGCACGAAAGTGAAAAGTGAAAGTGAAGTCGCTCAGTCATGTCCGACTCCTAACAACCCCATGGACTGCAGCCTACCAGGCTCCTCCGTCCATGGGATTATCAAGGCAAGAGTACTGGAGTGGGCTGCCATTGCCTTCTCCACCAGACACATGCTAGGATGGATAAGAGGACCTTGGGGACCATCAGTGGTGACTCTAGGAGATGCAACTGCAATGCACAGAGCTCAAGTTTGATCTGGAAACCCCCCGCCACGACGGACATCACTTCTAGTCACGAGAAAGACATCTGTTTGCGAGACTGCTGCTTGTAGGATCAGGCTGCGAGGACCCACAGGGTGTTCTCACCACAGCCCAGGCTGCAAAGGCAGGAATAAAGCTCACTTGTTGTTGTGAGAAATAAGACCAGCTAACAGCGCAGGTGCTGCACATCTGAACAACCTGGGTTCAAATTCCATCTGTGCTGCTTATGGGCTGTGTGATCTCAGGTAAGTCGCCTGACTTCTCTGAGCCTCAGTTCCTTCACCTGTGAAACAAGACCACCATCACCACCTACCACTGGGGCTGCTGGGGGATGGATGAGGCAGTATGTGGAACCCAAATAGCACATGGGTTTAAGAAGTGGAGGAGCATCTGATGTTAAAGCAATAGGATTATATTAGGATTAAGTTGATCCCTGAACAACACAGATTTGACGTGCTCCAGTCCAGGTCAAATATGCGGGTTTTTTCCCAACGGTAAGTTTCCAAATGGTAAATGGCACCATTCCCCAACGGTAAATACCACAGCACTACAGGACCTGTGGTGTGTAGGATGTAGGAACAGCAGTGACGGAGGGCCAACTGAAGCTGTACTCTGATTTTCAACTCCGCAGAGGGTTAGCATTCCCAACTCCTGTTTTGTCAAGTGTATGTAGTTTCAGCCCAGGAGCGACTGTGCTGCAGCGACCGCCACCTCTGGCAGGAGCCCAGGCTCTCATAAGTGATCGGAACCAGCGGTGGCCCCGGGCTCTCGTGGCAGCGGGGCGGCCATATGCACACGCTGAGTCAGCCTGCTGGGCAGGGGGAGGCACCGGCTCCGAGGGGGAGCCTTGCCAGCATGCTGCAAGGAGCAGTGATGGAGCAGGTCGCAGTCCGGAATCCCAAGCCTCCCTTGGCTCTTCTTCCAGAGAAGCTTTCCCTGCAGCTAAGGACGCTGACAGCCTGCAGCCCGCTGGACCACGGCGGGGCTGGCCTCCCACAGGACTGCAGGCTCCCCAGGTCTGGGCTATTTCTGACCCACCACGAGGAGCAGCAAATATGGTAAAAGAATGAGTGTGGTGGCAGGGAAAAACCCTCGGACGGGAGCCAGGAGACCTGCACCCCGGCCCCTGCACCATCAGAGCGCCGTGCGCCTGTGCACAGTCTGCACTGCCTTCTCCGGGCATCGGTCGCCTTCACAGGAGAATTTCTTTTCGGTCGGTTACAACTTCTTCCTGGCGATGGCTCTTAACTGGGGTAAGCGCCAGAATCCCCTGGAGGGCTTCACTGACGGACAGACGCCCAGCTTGCCCCTGACTCTTCTGGAACTGGGCCTCGCTGGAAGGTTCTGAAAAGCCTCCCAGGGATCGGGGAAGGACAGGAATGGGAGGCAGGGAAGGGGAGCGGCCCAGCTGCTTCAGGAGCTCCTACAAGGCTGACGGCTTGTGGGTTCCTCTCCCTCCCACTCACGCTCAGGAAAACGGCCGTGACTCTCGTTTCCAGCAGACACTTTTTACCAATGGAAACAGAACAGGTGTCCACCAAGGCGGGAGGAGCCCGGGCCTCTCACCTGCTTAACAAGACAGTCCTCTGACGCAGTAGCACGTGAGCAGATGCAACCCGTCCAGAGGAAAGGCCACCCCTCCCTGGACTGTCACCTCACCTTCCCTCTTTACACCACAGGGTTACTACACAGGCTGGCAAGATGACAGACCGTGCCCTTCCTGCCCAGTGGTCATCCCTGATGGTCCCGAACTGGGACCAGGAGAAAAACAACAGGGCTGGTCGTCACAGGGCTTCTCTGGTGGCTCAGACGGTAAAGAATCTGCCTGCCAATGCAGAAAACGCAGCTTCTATCCCTGGGTTGGGAAGATACCCTGGAGGAGGAAACGGCAACCTACTCCAGTATTCTTGCCTGGGAAATCCCATAGACAGAGGGGCCTGGCAGGCTACAGTCCACGGGGTCGCAAAGAGACACGACTGAGCGAC